CATAGGCCTGTAATTGACATCATAGGTAGACCTCAACTATGAGAGACAACATGAGAAAACACATCCAGAAAATCGCATTGTCTGATTTTTTACGAATTTATTTGCAAATCATGGTGGAAAATAAGTATTTGATCACCTACAAACAAGCAAGATTTTTGGGTCTTACAGACCTGTAACTTCTTCTTGAAGAGGCTCCTCTGTCCTCCACTCATTACCTGTAGTAATGGCACCTATTTGAACTTGTTATCAGTAAAAAAAGACACCTGTCCACAACCTCAAGCAGTCACCCTCCAAACTCCATTATAGTGAAGGCCAAAGAGCTGTTGAAAGACACCAGAAACAAAATTGTCACCCTGCACCAGAATGGGAAGACTGAATCTGCAATAGGCAAACAGCTTGGTGTGAAGAAATCAACTGTGGGAGCAATAATTAGAAAATGGAAGAGATTTATTTATTTATTTGTCATGTCAGGGCAACCAGTCAATTGTATTACATTTCTAACAGAACAGAACAAAGAAACAGACAGACAAAATACAAAATTTGCAAGTTTGGTAGTTGATTAAATGTCCTTTGACCAGTAGCTGGCCACTTGGAGTGCTTCTGGTGTTGCTGCAAGAAAGTCCTCCATTGTGCATGTAGCAGGGCTCAGGTTGCATTTTAATAGGTAGTTTGTGCTTCTACACTCGCATGTTGCGAACTCCACTTTGTGGCCCCATTTCTTGAAGTTGGCTCTGCATCTTGTGGTGCCAGAGCGCAGTCTGATCAGTGCCTTCCAAGTCGCCCAGTCTTCTGTGTGCCCAGGGGGGAGTCTCTCATTTGGTATCAGCTATTGGTTGAGGTTCTGGATTTGAGCCTGCCACTTTTGGACTCTCACTTGCTGAGGTGTTCCTGCGAGTATCTTGTAGATCTAAGAAAACTATTTCTTGATTTAAGTCGTTGACGTGCTGGCTGATACCCAAACAGGGGATGAGCTGGAGATGTCTCTGCCTTGGTCCTTTCACTATTGGCTGCTACTTCCCGGCGATGTCAGGTGGTGCAATACCGGCTAAGCAGTGTAATTTCTCCAGTGGTGTAGGACGCAGACACCCCGTGATAATGCGGCATGTCTCAATAAAGATCACTGATGATCTCCCTTGATCTGGGGCTCCATGCAAGATCTCACCCTGTGGGGTCAAAATGATCACAAGAACAGTGAGCAAAAATCCCAGAACCACATGGGGGAACCTAGTGAATGACCTGCAGAGAGCTGGGACCAACGTAACAAAGGTTACCATCAGTAACACACTACGCCGCCAGGGACTCAGATCCTGCAGTGCCAAACGTGTCCCCCTACTTAAGCCAGTACATGTCCGGGGCCTACTGAAGTTTGCTAGACAACATTTGGATGATCCAGAAGAGTATTGGGAGAATGTCATATGGTCAGATGAAATCAAAATAGAACTGTTTGACAGAAACACAACTCATGGTGTTTGGAGGAGAAAGAATGCTGAGTTGCATCCAAAGAACACCATACCTACTGTGAAGCATGGGGGTGGCAACATCATGCTTTGGGGCAGTTTCTCTGCAAAGGAACCAGGGTGTCTGATAAAAGAATGAATGGGGTCATGTATTGTGAGATTTTGAGTGCAAACCTCCTTCTATCAGCAAGGGCACTGAAGATGAAATGTGGGCTGGGTCTATCAAAATGGCAATGATCCCAAGCACACCGCCAGGGCAACGAAGGAGTGGCTTCGTAAGAAGCATTTCAAGGTCCTGGAGTGGCCTAGCCAGTCTCCAGATCACAACCCTATAGAAAAACTTTAGAGGGAGTTGAAAGTCTGCGTTGCCCAGTGACAGCCCCAAAACACCACTGCTCTTGAGAAGATCTGCATGGAGGAATGGGCCAACAGACCAGCAACAGTGTGTGCCAACCTTGTGAGGACTTACAGAAAACATTTTACCTCTGTCATTGCCAATAAAGGATGCATAACAAAGTATTGTCATGAACTTTTGTTATGGACCAAATATTTATTTTCTAGCATAATTTGCAAATAAATTTGTTAAAAATCAGACAATGTTATTTTCTGGATGTGTTTTCTCATGTTGTTTCTCATAGTTGAGGTCTACCTATGATGTCAATTACAGGCCTCTCTCATCTTTTTTTAAGTGGGAGAACTTGTACAATTGGTATCTAACTAAATACTCCCCCCCCCCCTCCCAACTGTATAAAGAGCTCTTTGTGAGTGGTGGCAGTGGCTGATAGTAAAAATGTTAGTCGGTGGAAGACCGCTTCTTTGGGGTAAACCATTCTTTGGCCTCCTCCTACTACTCCTTCCCTGAGGGCGCATCCAAACAGCACCAAAAATGCGCGCCCTCCCACATTTTTACATGGGGCATCCAAATGATGTCCCACGTAAAAACCAATTCCTTCAGGGCAAAGGAGGAAAACCCTGCTTTGTCCCAAATTAATTAGATACCTCATTAGACACCTGTGTGAAAGGCCTGGGTCTGATAGGCTATGGGCCCTTTATAGAGAGGCCCATGGGGTGTCCTGGGACTTCTCTGGGGCCTGTCCATACACCCATCTTGCACCTTCTGGGCTCATGGGGCCAAAAATGTGAGATGGCCCTCACCCCCTTCCCCAACAAGTATATAAAAAGAGAAAACTTACTGGGCCGCCATTAGGCCTCGCAGCACGCTTCCTGGAATGTACCAATTATGAGCTGGTGGGGGGAGGGGGAATTGCTGCCTTTAGGGTTATTATTCCCAGGCCCCTTCTACATTGCCATACAATCCAAATTATCAAAACAGATCATCCACATCTGATTTGAACTGGATTATATCAGTCTACACTACAAAGTAGATAATCTGGATTTTATATGGCCGTGTAAAAGTAGCCTTGAACTCTACTGCCTTCTTCTTTGTTGACTTTTCCTTCCTTCTTTTTTGAAGCTACAATAAAGCCATTATTTGGCTAAAATTTGTGGATCAGGTGATAGGTGTGGCTTTCATTTTAATACCTCTTTTGTTTCTGCAACAATTCAGCTCTGAAATACCCTTTTGGAAGATCTCTTCATTTTCTATTTTCAGAGCATTTCATCATTCTGGATTCATACTACACCCATTTTAAGGAAAAAAGCTTATTTGTTCTGTTTCTTCCCTAGTTTTCCTCCAAAATACTCAGGACAGAATTAAGGTGGTTTGTGTGTATGTGTCAGGAGTGACTTGAGAAACTGCAAGTCACTTCTGGTGTGAGAGAATTAGCCGCCTGCAAGGACGTTGCCTAGGGGATGCCCGGATGTTTGATGTTTTACCACCCTTATGGGAGGCTTCTCTCATGTCCCCGTATGGAGAACTGGAGCTGACAGAGGGAACTCAACCACTCTCTCCCCGGATTCGAACCTCCAACCCGTCAGTCTTCAGTCCTGCCAGCACAAGGGTTTAACCCATTGCGCCACCGGGGCTCCTAGAATTAACTAGCTGGGCTAGCTATAGAATTAAGAAGCCACTCATCTAAATTCTATGACTAGCCCAGCTTTTGACTGTAACAAGTCCAAAATAAAAATAGATGACACCGGTTTTAGTTTATGGCAACATGTTAACTGTTTATATATATTAACTTGGGTACCTGGCAATGCCTGGGTTATTTGAAAAAGCCATTATTTGTTTTTGGATTTTAGATAGTATCAGGTTGGTAATTTGAAATGCTGTTTATTAGGAAAAAGTCAGTCTTTGGTTTTTTTTTAATGAATATCCCCATTAGAAAATGCATAAAGATGTGGGTGAACCACAATCCCAAAAAATCGTGGGTCAGTCGCCCCCATCAGAATTCAAAGTTGGCCATGCTGGGTTTGTACCAAGTTTGGTCCAGATCCATCATCGGCTGGGCTCAGTATTCTCTGAATATGGGTGAACTATAACACCTGAATTCCAAGGCTAATCACCCCAAACCCCACCATTATTCAAAGTTGGCCATGTTGGGTCTGTGTGCCAAGTTTGGTCCAGATCCATCATTAATACAGTTCTGAGGGCTCTCTGGATGCAGTATAACTAGTATACTGATCAATTAAATTGTACAGTAAAGTCTCACTTATCCAACATAAATGGGCCGGCAGAACATTGGATAAGCGAAAATGTTGGATAATACAGAAGGACTAAGGAAAAGCCTATTAAACGTCAAATTACATTATGATTTTGCAAATTAAGCACCAAAACATCATGTTTTACAACAAATCAACAGAGAAAACAGTTCAATGCATGATAACGTTATGTAGTAATTACTGTATTTATGAATTTAGCACCAAAACATTGCACTGTATTGAAACAGCTGTGGATCCAGGTGGGAGGCAGACTGCGTTGGATAATGCAGACCACTGGATGAGCGAAGGTTGGATAAGTGAGACTCTACTGTACTTGAAAAATGAGATACAGCTGCATCATATCAGTAATGCACTCAGGAACAAGTTTCATTTTAATGCAGCAGGTATGCAATCTATGATCCAGTTATCACTGAGATATAATTCTAAAAAGACAAGTGTATGAAACTTTTTGGGCCTAATGGCTACAAAGGTCCACTTGAGGACCATATTAGTGCTTTCAAAAATGGACAGTTAATAACAAATGGGTTGAGCCGTAGTTGCAATGCACTGAGAGACTAGTTTTGGTTGCTTGTTCTTTCCTTCCTTCCTTCCTTCCTTCCTTCCTTCCTTCCTTCCTTCCTTCCTTCCTTCCTTCCTTCTTCTTTCTTTCTCTTTTTGATTATTTTATATACAGTATAAAAGGTGGTGCAGTGGGTTCAACCAATGAGCAGCTGAACTTGCTGACTGAAAGGTTGGCGGTTCAAATCCAGGGAGCGGGATGAGCTCCCACTGTTAGCCCCAACTTCTGCCAACCTAACAGTTTGAAAACATGCAAATGTGAGTAGATGAATAGATACCGCTTTGAAGGGAAGGTAACAGCGCTCCATGCAACCATATGACCTAGGAGGTCTCTACCCACAGGAATGGACCAATATGCAAATATGATATGACAGACAGTACATTTATTCAGTCCAGCTGCCTAAGTAATGTTATCTGTTATTAGAACATAAAATTCAGATTCTAAATAAAGTTTACTATCTCTTATACTTTTCATTGGTGCATTAATAGACTTACAGATACCAATTTTAACCTTATTGACATGGCACAAAACTTAGAAAATGTCATTCTTTGTACAGAAGTTCATTAACACATTATCTTTTGCAGTTATCAAGATGAAAACCAGAGGCTGCTTCCTTAAACTAAGTGCTCAACAGCATTAAATGCACCAAAATGGTTATAAGAAAAACGCAAACTTCTTGTGGGTAATGTAAGTTATCCAGAGGTTGAGTCTCAGACAGCAGAACTGTTAAGTGTTCTTAAACTTCAGATTATCTACATTTTATGCAATTCTGAGACTGATGTAGAACAAATCCATCTGGGTTGTTGTAGGTTTTTCGGGCTATATGGCCATGTTCTAGAAGCATTCTCTCCTCACGTTTCGCCTGCATCTATGGCAGGCATTCTCAGAGGTCGTGAGGTCTGCTGGAAACTCGGAAAATTGAGTTTATATATCTGTGGAAAGTCCAGGGTGGGAGACATTCCACAGATATATAAACCCAATTTTCCTAGTTTCCAGCAGACCTCACAACAGAGGAGAGAATGCCTCTAAAACATGGCCATATAGCCCGAAAAACCTGCAACCACCCAGTGATTCCAGCCATGCAAGCCTTCGACAATACAAAACCATCTATTTATTATTCTCAAAATAGGAATCCTAATATTACCAAAACAAGGTCTGGCAAGGCGAATTCTGTTTCTGATCAGAGGCCCTCACAACTGGATCCATGCCATGAAGACTTTGACAAACAACAGAAGAAGAAAAAAAATGTATGCAAGGCCACAAAAAAAGGCCTATTGTACTATGATTTCTGTTTGGGAAAGCAGACCAAATATAAATCCATGTATATTTTAAGCAATTTGCTTGAGTAAACTTAATTTAACACCAGTGTCTTAAATAATAAAACTGCTTTTTCCATCAGTGCTACTACATTTAGTCTGCTTTCCATCTAGCAGCAAAAAGTTTAACCAAGTTACATTTCTTCTTCCAACTCCAAATATTTCAATCAAAATATATCTAATCAGATTTTTAGTTTATATTAGTCATTAAAATATTCCAAATATTTTCTGTATATATATATATATATAATCTCTAAATCAGCAAACAAATAAATGAAGAACAGTATTTCACATGTGAACAAGTTGTCCTCAACACAGAACACATATGAAAGAAAAAGAAAGGCAAGAATGGCATACAATTGCTATGCCACTATGTGATCTAGGTTTCACCGACTGTTTAATAATAAAAAAATGTTTGGTCTTTAAGAATTCCAGTTTGCATCTTGGCGAAAGAGCAGAGATTGGGGGGGGGGTCTCTCTGAAGAAGGTGATTAATCTTAAGACGACGGGATTCTTTTAGCTTGCAAGATGTAGCCTTTGGACTTGATGATCCCTCTGCTCTTTACAATAACTGAGTATCGCAGAAGCCACAGCGGAGTCCATTCGTGCGCCCGGCAGTCTGGGAAGCTTTCCTGAAGAGTTCCTTGGAAACTTGCTTCACAAAGCAGTTCTAAAATTTTAAGTATGAGGCAAGAACAGTGTTTTTAGGTGATTGTGTTTCAAAATAGCACATAATTTCCAGACCTGATGATACAAGCAGCATCACACACACACTTACACATTATTCCCAAATATTTGTCTGTAATCCTCTGGCTTTTAACAGATATGGGCAAGTTTGTTCAAAGCTATGTTTAGTTCTGTGCTAAACCTACTAGTGCCAACAAAAAGGGAAGGATCTCAGGCCCCTTCTACACTGCTATATAACATTCAGATTATCTGCTTTGAAATGGATTATATGCCAGTGTAGACACAGATAATTCACTTCAAAGTGTATAAAGCGGATCACCATATATACTTGAGTATAAGCTGACCTAAATATAAGCCGAGGTACCTAATTTTATCACAAGAAACTGGAAAACATAATGATGCGAGTATAAGCCAAGGGTGGGAAACACAGCAGCTACTGGTAAATTTCAAAATAAAAATAGATACCAATAAAATTACGTTAATTGAGGCGTCAGTAGCTTAAATGTTTTTGAATATTTACATAAAACTGTAATTTAAGATATGACCATTATTCTAACCTTCTTCAATATAGATGTGCTTACCTATCCTTCCAATAAAATAAAATAAATTTAATAATAATAATAATAGAGTAAAATAATGGAAATATAATAATAACAGTATTAACAGTGAAGTGATAAATGTAATAATAATAAATGGAATAAAATAATAAATGTAATAGTAACAATAAGAGTAAAATAATAAATGTAGTAACAATAATAAACAGAAAAATAATAAATGTAATAATAATAGAATAAAACAATAAATGTAATAAAAATAAAAATAGAGTAAAATAATGTAAATGTAATATAATAATAACAATAACAATAACAATAATAGAGTAAGATAATAAATGTAATGAAAATAATAACAGAGTAAAATAATAAAAAAAACATTGACTCAAGTATAAGACAAGGGGGGCTTTCTCAGCCTTAAAAAGGGCCGAAAACTCAGCTTATACTTGAGTATATACGGTATTTGCTTAGAAAGTCTGGATTATATGGTAGTGTAGAAGAGGCCTCAATTGCAAGCACACTAACCAAATGAGACCATTGCAAATGCATGATCAACTAACAAAAACAACAAACGTTATAAACGTAATTACAAAATATAAAAAAGGAATTACATAGACTGTAGATTGTGTCTTCCTTATCCACAGTAAATACATTTGCCTCACTGATTGTTTTTGTTATGTGTTTGTGATGATCTCATTTGGTTCACAAATCTACAGGGTCAGCCTCTGCTCTTGCTCAAATTTGGCATTGTGGGAGCAAGCCTGGGGAAACAATGGCAAGTTGAATGCTGAGGCATTCAGAAAGCAATAAGCTAATAAAATATGACTTCTCTATTTGGTTTTTAAGGCAAATTGTGGCTTTTCCAATGCCACTGAAGCACCATACCAAATAAGGCAATAGTAGTGAAAACAGCTGCAATTTGCTCTTTAAACAAAAAGAAGTATGAGGAGGATACACTTCATTAACAAGTTATTCACACTCCCAGGTGGCTTCTGAGAGAACGAATCTGTTTATAAACAAGGTGTGTTCTTTCCCCATGCCTTGCTTCAAATGTAAACTCGGGCCTTTTGTGAAGTTCCTTCAGTTAATAGCAGGAAAACCACAGAAAAGGAGCTGGGGCGTTACATTTGGCTGGCTCACTGACTAGCCCTGATTTAAAACATCCAGAATATATTATTTATTTTTTCTTTTTAAACTATACAGAAAATACAAGCCTGGATAATACAGCCAACTCTTTTGTGATTTGTTTTATTTTTGCAAAGCAGTTCCTCGAGGTTTTGTTCTGGGGAATTGCTTTGTTTTACTTTTGCAAAGCAATTCTCCAGGGTTTTGATCTGGAAGAAAGACTGGATTTAAATGCAATACAATAGTTGTGTTTTTATCCTGACCTTTTGGATCATTATGAGTTAACAGCTGGATATCAAACTCTTTTGCAAACGCAGTCAGATCTGGTGGCATCACACAGCAGGAAGCGAGATTCACCTGATTACTGCTTGGCTTCACCTAAAAGAAATCAAATGAAGACCAACTTCAGATGCTATGGTGTTTTCCTTGAGCTGAATGACATTAAGTGATTTGATGCCCTCTATGGAAAACTGCTTCCCGATTTATGAAAACACAGAACAGGTTTCGTGTATCAAACAAAGTAGCTCATATCTGCCCTACATGGTATGAAAATATCTACACATATTAAGCATCCCTTATTTGAAATGGCTGGGGCCAGATGTGTTTTGGATTTCAGACTTCTTTTTCAGATTTGGAATACAGTTCCTGTATATATATGTATGTAAATAATATGGTATTTTAGAGATAAGATCCAAGTCTAAACACAAATTATATTTCAGATATACCTTATGTACATAGACTAAAGGTACTATAACTTATTTTACCAATCTAAATTTTAGTATTGTTGTTTACCCTATAATCCTTACATATCACCTGTCACATCAGCACTTTTAATCCTGTACCCATTACTCTGGCCCGGCCCAGTTTTATAGTGTCTTGATGTATTGTTTATTGCTTGTTGTTTAATATTGCTTTAATTGTTTTTAATTTGCTTTAGGTGTTGTATTGTTATGTTGTGTTTTGAGGCCTTGGCCTTTGTAAGCCACATCAAGTCCTTCGGGAGATGCTAGCGGGGTACAAATAAAGTTAATAATAATAATAAATATATCATGTTGCATTGTATTTTGCTTTTATTGAATTATTATTATTATTATTATTATTATTATTATTATTATTATTATTATTATATGCAAGATCTGTATGCCGATTGTTTGTGTGGTGCTGTTGTCCCATATCACTTTTGCCTCATCACACTAGAGAAAGGGTCCACTTGGAATTCGGTTTCTGCCTTCTGCGGAATTCTGGGATTTGTAGTTTAGTGAGGCTGTTAAAGGCTCCTCACTGGACTACAGACCCCGGGGTTCTGCAGGAGGCAGGGGCCGGATTTGGAGTGGATTTTTTCTCGGGTGTGATGAGGTGGGGGTGATATGAGACAACAGTATTGCATGGATGATTGGCCTATGGATCTTGCATATAATAATAATAATAATAATAATAATAATAAGCATGATTTGTGTAGCTTGCTGTCGACCTTTGCAGCCCGAAAGACAGTTGCATCTGTCAAGTAGGAAATTTAGGTACCGCTTATGTGGGGAAGCTAATTTAATTAATTTACGAGGCCATAAAAATCTCCAGCAAGCATGCAAAGAATGAGGAAGTACTTCATCAGTGTCACAAATGGACGTTGAAATGACAGCTCTCCTGGTGGCCAGAATACCCTCATGAAAAAGCTGGAATGTTAAATAGCCTCTGAGTGTCTTTCTATATATGTTGTGTTTATGGCACTTAATGTTTGCCATATATATGTACATTGTAATCCGCCCTGAGTCCCCTGTGGGGTGAGAAAGGCGGAATATAATTACTGCGAATAAATAAATAAATAATGTGAGGAAATATTTGTAGTAATTTTGTGCATGAAATAAATTAGTTTGAATTTCAGAATTCTGAATAAGGGATGCTTTAAAGTTACATGGGATTTTAAAAGTATATATAGCAGAGCGGACTAGCAGGAAAAAAGGTAGCGTTTTCAGATTATTTCAGTCGAAGAGCTTGCCTCTTACCTGTGCCCACAAGAAGAGCTGCTCCAGCAGTGCTTTATCTAAGTCGGAGGTCCCTATGGCAACAATCTGCTTGTTTTGAACCAAGTTTTCAAGCTCTGCCCAATAAGGCTGTAAATACTCTAAAGAAAGATTAATTCCGTCTTCTGTTGGAGGAGGAGCAATGATTACAGAATCTAGCTGGTCAACCCCAAGGGCAGAACATGCTGAAAAAGAGAAACAATACTTCCTGAGGTGAAGCAGAAAAGGGCATGAGTATCTCCAATTCACTTGTTCTATCATTTGTATAAATGTTCAGCTCTCAGATCCCTTACAAAGCCTCAGAGATGCAAGGATCAAGTAGAAAGATCTTTTAAATGACAAAGAGTCTTTATCAAATGAATTCAACAAAATAAGCTGAAGTAGGAAGAGGTAGAAGAGTTTTTAAATAGGTTCTAATATTCAACTGTAGATCAAGGAAACTATATAAAAAGTTGGGTTGCTGTGAGTTTTCCGGGTTGTATGGACATGTTTCAGAAGCATTCTCTCCTGACGTTTTGCCCACATCTATGGCAGGCATCCTCAGAGGTTGTGAAGTCTGCTGGAAACTAGGCAATTGGGGTTTATGTATCTGTGGAATGTCCAGGGTGGGAGAAAGAACTTATGTCTGTTGGAAACAATGAGGGCCAGCTAACACCTCCCAACAAAGGATGCCTCCAAGCAGGAAGCAGCCATGCTTTGAAGCTGCAAAATGTTTATCAAGCTGGCCATAACCTCTAAAATCAGGACAGTAAATAAAGAGGAAAACTCAGAAAAGAGAGGAATTCCAGACAGGAAACATTCAGGGTGACCTAATACCTCCCAACAATGGATTCCCCCAGGCAGGAAGCAATCAAACTTTGAAGCTGTAAGGCTATTGAATGCTAATCAAGGTGGCCAACTGCAACATTCACACTTGCCTCCAACAGACAAGAGTTCTTTCTCCCACCATGGACATTCCACAGATATATAAACCCCACTTTCCTAGTTTCCAACAGACCTCACAACCTCTAAGGATGCCTGCAAAACATCAGGAGAGAATGTCTCTGGAACATGATCACACAGCTGATAAAACGCACAGCAACCCATTGATTCTGGCCGTGAAAGCCCTCGACATTCTATAAAAGGTTATTTTAAATTGAGTTAGCAAAAGGCACATGGTACTAAATGGCGCCAGTCCGACATACTCATGAATTCATTTTTATCTCCAAAACTAAATACCGCTCCCTTTTTACTCTGTACCCCAAGATCACTTTCAGGCAACAGCATTGCTATAATAAACAAACATAAAAACACAATCTTTGCCTTATGTTTCTAAACTTGCTTGCAATGCAAGACCAGAGTTCATAAAATCTGGATTTCACTTAGGTGATAACTAGCTTGTGTTTACTTTAGGGTTAAAGGTTTACTGTCTGCAAACCATGATGAAAAGATACAAAAGACATTAGATAAAAACATTTTCTCACTGAAGAAAAAGAAAGCTCTCTTGCAGTATTAGAAAAGACTTGTTAATGAGAAGAAGCCAGTCAGATGCAATATTTCAATCTTGAACTTACTCATGCTGACCGCTTCTCTGATCGATGAGGTGTTTGATCCAGCAATGAACAGTTTTGCTGAAAATGAAGAACTGGGTTTAATAAGGAAAAATGACAACTATTGCAATAACATACATTTCAAAGCCATTTGTTTTTAGCAAAAAAACTTAGAGCATAAGTGACTGTACTTATAATATCAATTATTGTATGACACAATCATTGACAGGTATTCTCTGATCCATTAGGGATTGTCTTATCAGGTCAGAGAAAATCCTTATTGATCAAGAAAGCTGGTTTGAGATTATTTGCCACATCTTATGAGGAACAAGTCTATTTTGAACTCTTATGAGGAAAAGCATCATATACATTAAAACAATGGCTAAAGATGTACACTGCAACAAGGTAAGCAACACACTCCTGTAGTCCCACCTAAATGTAAACATATAAAATGGTGAGTCGTGTTATTGGAAGCTTCCAGGAAGTTTAATTTAAAATTAAAGCACAATGCATCTCTGAGACCTTTTAAAAAGTATAATAAGATTTTTTAAAAAATGGAATAGGACCACACCTGGCTTCAGTAGGGAAGATGAAGCCCATGATGGGTCCTGGTAGGGGGACAGAATCACTTCCCAACCCCTGAGCCTCCCCATACCTGGACATCATCTCAAGCCTGCTTTTATCAATATGTATAGCACTGCAGGACATTGGAGGACATTATATGTGGCAATGGAGGAGCCCAGAATCCATCTAACATGTCATTCTGTATCCGTCATCTAGGTATCCTTTTGCAACCTGGCTATGCTGGCAAGGAATTATAAGTTATTTATTTATTTACTATATTTGTACACTGCCCTTCTCAGCCCTTAGTTACTGTTTAACAGTCCTGCTGGAAGGCACCCATCTGGGGGAGGCTACTCTTGAAGGTAGACATAAAAGCGATTGATCTCTGTTGTATTCCCTTTGGTTTGTGTCCACTTATGTCTTTTCATTTCCTTTCAGTTCTGTAACTAACATCAGACAATTTTTAAAAAAATGGCATAACTTGCAGCTATGAGAGGATTATACCTATTATTGCTTGGTACAGATATGTCAATGAATAATGCAGCTGCACTGATATATGCAAAATAATATTAAAAAGCAGATTCAGCAGCTAAAACATTTCCTGCATTTCCACATTATGCTACACCATGGTTCAGAGTTGTGAAGATGGCCATGCATGGAAATGCAACCAAAATGTAAAAAATGTTATTAAGGCATAGAAATTAATAAACCTGATAAGCACTTCATGAAAGAAGTATCCAGCTGTAAAAACTTGCATCTCTGAACTGTCCTGTTTTTTCATAAAAATAATAAAATAGGTTCCACTGGATATTGTCTCTTGCCCAGTTTCTGACTCATTTCATCATTCACACATCCTCAGAAGCTGATGACCATGCCTATTAGGATGGGTAACATATGGCCTTCTAGCTCAGTGGTTCTCAACCTGAGGGTCCCCAGATGTTTTTGCCTTTAACACGCAGAAAACCTAACAGCTAGTAAACTGGCTGGATTTTTGGGAGTTGTAGGCCAAAACACCGGGGACCCACAGGTTGAGAGCCTCTGGTCTAGAAGTTGCTGGACTGCAACTTCTACCATCCTTTGCCAGCAGAGCCAACAATGAGGGATGATGGGAGCTGCAGTCACAACCTATAGAAGACTACACAATACTCTATCTCTTTGCTCTGTATCTAAGAAGCCTCCAAGCTTAGACAAGGTTGGCTCTCATGAGTTAAGTACTCCACTGAATTTACCTGAAACTTTCAGTTCTTCCCTTTCTTCAGAATTGATTTTTTCTATGGCCTGAGCAAGAGTGCAGTCAAGGACTTCTGGCATCTCCTGCAAATAAATAGGCGACAGTCAGGGGAGCTCAGTCCCTTCGAACATATTACATGCAGAGGAAATATAGAAGAGAGTCTTGAGCTTGACAAAAGTCACTTTTTCTCATTTCCAAAACTGAACAGTTATGCACCGGGACAGATATTCTGTGGTCTCTCAGTCCAAAACCAATACTCAGCAACAAGGATTTATTAACATCCCTCCACTGAAGACTATAATATTGGGCAGGGAAAAAACAGCAGACATAATAGAATCTTTGGAAATAGATTATAAATGTATTTATTTTTTACATTATGTCTGCATTTATCCTCAAAGAAATGCGACTAAGAAATTACATGAAACATTTACAATATTATGCTTTTATTTTCTATTATAAAAACAGATATGATAATTTTTAACAGACATGGGGATTAATCTGCATAAATTAATTCGCTCTGGGGGCCACGGGATTTTGGCACATTTATAAGGAAAGCTGTGAAGACCAAAAATCGAGATGGGGCATAGAGATTGAAGAAAACATCCCAACCTTGAGAGAAAGGCAAGTTACAGATAAAATAAAGTATTTTAAAAATTGTTTTTATTTATTTGCATTAACAAAAAAAAGTCTCTTCAAAGAAAAATGTTCTGCAGTGAAGGATCTTTCTCTGTACAGACCAGTAGAGGCAGTCCCCGAGTTACCAACATCCAAGTTACATCCAATTCCTAGTTACAAACTAGGGGTGAGACAACAGGAAGTGAGAGGAAATCTACGCTTTGGAATTTATACACTCTGACAGAGAAGGCTAAAGACCTTGTGAAATTATAATTCCCAGGATTCCTTCTCACTGAGTTGTAACAGTTAAAGTGGTGTCAAACTGCATTAACTCCACAGCGCTGGCATATCCCTTTTCAGAAGTAATGTCATTCCCTTAGGGTTCTGCTACATGAATGATTTAACTCAGTTCTAACAGCATCCCACACACTAAACAAGCATATACTTGGCTTCAGTAAATGAAATGAAAAGGACTTGTAAATTTGTCTTCCACTGCTGTCCTAGACTCTCAGACACTTTCCACACTGCCCCTATATTCCAGGATTTGATTCAAGGTTATCTTTTTATCCCAGATTACCTGGCAGTGGAGACTCAGATAATCCAGTTTAAAGCAAATAATCTCGGATCAGATCCAGGGATATAGGGCAGTGTAGAAGGGGCTTCAGTGAGCATTGGTCTTTTTGCATCATAGAAATGGAATATGGAAATCTTCTGTCTTCTGTCTCCCTGACACGTTTCTATTCGCAGAAGCAATACTTGCCTTTTAAGGATCCAATTTAATTCAAGTAGGTAGCCAAACTGAACAGGAACCAACTCCTGGAACAAACATTTGGAAAGTCTCACTTTTATTCTTCTGCCAACAGAATGATTTCCATAAATGCAACCAGGAATGGAGCAATGCCACCCTCTTGTGCATCATCCAGCAAATGTTGGGAGGCTGCTGAGGAGAGGAACTGATGATGAACCCCACCCCGCCTCTTCTATTAGTAGGAGTGTGCCAGCTTGACACTGGATTTTAGCCTTTATTCTTTCCTTTAACAGAACCAACATTATTACCTGAAAATGGTGCATCTACACTATCAAATTAATGCAGTTTGGCACCACTTTAATTGCTATGTGTCATACAGTGCTATGAAATCATGGAAGCTGTATTTTTACTAGGTCTTTAGCCTTCCACACATTCATAGAAAACATTCTGTTGATGGAAGAAGAATGCTGGGTTCTCAACAAACTAGAACCCCCAGCATTGAGGCAGGGCAGTTAAATTAGTGTCAAACTACATTAATTGAGATTCACTTTTCAAGGCTGCGAAATCTTGTTTTTCTATTTTGATTAAATTAGGTGAAAATATGTACTTGGGAAATTGACAGAGCAGAATTCTGTGTTTAGTTACAATCTGCTTTCTTTTTTCCTGATTTTGTTACTAGTTTAATTATAATACATGCCTCTGATTGCATCCTTTAGAATTAAGAAGTACAAATAAAATCGGTGTTTATGAACTAGGAATTTAAATAAATATAAAGTATTTAATATTCCTTTCTATCTTCATGAATGCTTCACGGACTATAGTGTTTTCAAAACTTCTGGCCTCACTAGCCTGCTTCATCCCACCATGCCAACTGGCATTATAAACAGTGTGCCTTTTATTTAAATTGTGTCATATTAACCACAACTGAACTGTTGAGTTACATGTACCAGATTAGTTCCTGAACTAATCTGGCATGTCTATACAGGTCTGAAGAAGAAACTAAAGTGGAACAATTTCAATTGCAGCTGAACTTCATGGGGAATTGAACCCTCACAAAAGATGTTGTAACAGTTTGACTGCCTGGATGGAGAAAATACTAAATATTTCATTTCTGGAGAAACAATTTTGTCAAGGAAAAAAAGAAAGGTTCATTTACCTGGATGAGATCAGGGCTGATCTTTGAACTCCATTCATTTAAGGTTTTCTGAATGCATTCTCGCAGCTGCAAAACAAATTTTTTGTTATTTAGTAAGTATTTTTTATGCAACCGATGAATGAGAAGACTCAATATAATATCAGACATATATACAGATTACTGGTATGTCATGCTATCTTTCACACTGCACAACTGAAGCAGTCTGATAACACTTTGAAGCCAAAGCTCCAATCTGTGGAATCCTGGATTTGCAGTTGGAGAGAGCTGTACCTATTTATATCTTACCATTCCTATTTACTTTTCTTTCCTCTGCTTTTGTCACTTAATCTGTATAATTGTACCCAACAGATCTAAAAACTTGACTCTTCCGAGAGTGACCATTCAACCCATTTTGTTTGTTTTCATCCACAGTTGTCCTCATGATGCACTTTCCCCTGTCCTTAATAAAGGCCAAACCCCACTGCTCCCCATTCTTGGGCTCCTCCCTCACAAATACACTTTTTATACACTTTTTATTCCTATCTCATCCATGGTTTTAACATTTTAGCTCGTGCATTTGGCCCACCCTTTGTGTTTGATTTTTATTATGTTATTTTGCACTGTTTATTTTATCCTGTTATTTTATGTATTTTGCTGTGATGTAATTTTTCTGTTGTTTTGTGTCTAACCTTGCCCTATTATTTTTGGACTTGGTCTCATTTTGGCCACCCCAAGTCCCCTTTGGGGAGATGGTGGCGGGGTATAAATGCTAATGATGGTGATGATGATTATTATTATTATTATGCACCTAATCCCTTAATGATATCCGCCTTTCTCTGCAACACAGACCCAAGGTGGCTTACAAACGGAATACAAAAAATTAAAATCCTTCAATCAGGAGGACAAAATAGACTTCAAGCATGCACGCTTGCTTTAAAAAAAATAAGGAGGGACAAATCCATCAAAGTTCACAGTCTTTCGTCTTTTTTAAGAAACCCTGAAAATTAAGAGAAAGGACAACACCAAGAATGGAAAATAAGTGACCCTCTAGAGCAGTGATTCTCAACCTGTGGGTTCCCAGATGTTTTGGCCTTCCAACTTCCAGAAATCCTAACAGCTGGTAAACTGGCTGGGATTTCTGGGAGTTGTAGGCCAAAACACCTGGGGACCTATAGGTTGAGAACCACTGCCCTAACATATCACACGCCTTGGTATAAGTACCATATTTTCCAATGTATAAGACGACTGGGCGCATAAGACAACCCCAGTTACAATATAGAGTTTGGGATATACTTGCTGTAAAAGACTACCCCTCTTTCAATGCACACCAAATAAAAAATTAAAAAACATCACATTTGATTTCAATATGGTAATTTTCCTATAAACATACCTCCTTCTCTGCCTCTCAGATCTCGCACATGTGCACCTGTGCTGCTTCACTGCAGTCCTCAGGAGCGAGATCTGAGAGGCAGAGAAGGAGGTACGGTAACAGGATACAATGGCGAGACGGGTGAAAGACGCATGTTTTTCTGGGCACAGCACCACTCTATCTCTTTTTTCCATACCCTGGGCATCCCGGATGCTTGCAGCTTGCTCTGCCCTTCACTTACACCTACCAGTGAGGTGACTCTTCATCTCGTCATTGGGATCGCGTTAAGTCACTTCTTTCCATAAATCCTGGTGAGTGGATTTTCTTCTACTGTAGTTGTACAATACCGCCATTGGTGGTTTCATACGGTCGCTGCATACGGCGGGGATGCGGCCATGGCCATTTTTGAGCTCCCCCCCACCATATGCAACGACCGCACATTCGCCAGTCCAGCTCGCAAGTTTCAGCACTCACCGTATAAGAAGACGTATAAGATAACCTCCGATTTTTGAGATTTTCCTGGGTTAAAAAATACTGTACTTCAGAGGACAGGACCAGTAGAGGAGAGAAAGGACTATTACTAGTATTACAGTGAGAATATACCAGTACTACTCACAGATCTTTTGAGTCCCAATATGAAAACTACTAGGTTAGAGACAATGCCGTAGCTTGAAATGAAGAACACAGCCAGCAAAAAGAATAAAACAGAAACAGATGCCTCTGGCCATCATTCAACAAGGTGGGGTTGGCGGGATATGTTCCCTGCTTGTCATGGGAATGGCAAAAAAGCTCCCTTCAGGGAAATCAGATGTATTATGTATTCATTACAAGTTTGGGCTGGAATGTGTGATCACAGACGTATAGTGTCAAGTAATTGCTGCAACACTATAGGAACAATAAATGCACATTTCAGATTCTATAGCTTCTGGAAAGTTTTGTACTCCATTGCTTTCCTTCTACTGATATCAAATTTAAAAAATGCCCACTGTCTACTTAAAGCACTCTATAAAGTCTATTTATGTCAAGCTTTCTCACAAATATGATCATCCAGTTTGTCTTTCTTCCTTTTCTTAGTTTGTAACATTATATTTGTGCTGGCTTGTGGTTCAAATACATCAGTGTTTCTCAATCTTCCTAATGCCGCAACCCCTTAATACAGTTCCTCATGTTGTGGTGACCCCCAACCATAACATTATTTTCGTTGCAACTTCATAACGGTAATTTTGCTACTGTTGTGAATTGTTATGTAAATATCTGATAGGCAGGATGTATTTTCATTCACTGGACCAAATTTGGCACAAATACTCGATACGCCCAAATTCGAATACTGGTGGGGTTGGTGAGGGGGACTATTGTTGTCATTTGGGAGCTATAGTTGCTGGGATTTATAGTTAACCTACAATCAAAGAGCATTCTGAATTCCACCCATGATGGAGTTGAACCATACTTGGAACTACCATGACTAGCAGAAAATACTGGGTCTGGTGGGCATTTACCTTGAGTTTGGGAGTTGTAGTTCACCTGCATCCAGAGAGCACTGTAGACTCAAACAATGATGGATGTGGACCAAACTTGGCGTGAATACTTAATATGCCCAAATGTGAACGCTGGTGGAGTTTGGGGAAAACAGACCTTGACATTTGGGAATTGTAGTTGCTGTGATTTATAGTTCACCTACAATCAAATAGCATTCTGAACCCCACCAATGAGAGAGTTGGGACAAACTTTCCATACAGAACCTCCACGACCAACAGAAAATACTGTGTTTTCTGATGGTCTTTGGCAACCCCTCTGACACCCTCTCATCCTGACCCCCAGGTTGAGAAGCACTGAAATATATTCAATCAAATATATGTGGGGTAAAAAATATGGGGTACTTATGCATTAATGGACAGAGGCATTTTTTTATATTCTATACAAGTGGTTTTCAACCTGTGGGTCCCCAGGTGTCTTGGCCTACAACTCCCAGAAACCCCAGCCAGTTTATGAGTTGTTAGGATTTCTGGGAGTTGAAGGCCAAAACATCTGAGGACCTACAGGTTGAGAATCACTGGCCTATACTGAAATGTGAGCCAAACTCCCTCTATCTTTCTGCAAAAAATGGCAAAAGTTATCACCTGCTGTGCTCACTGTAAAGAAATGACTATTTTGTTGTTGTTTTTCACTAAACACAGGAGCCCAGTAAAGCTCAGGCAAGCTGCTTCTAAGGAGCTGTCAAACCTAATTCGGTTACTACCCCAGAATGGTATGGAGCCTATAGTTTGCAGAACAATAGCTCTCAATCCTCTCAAGCTCCTTCTCAACACAAAATGAGACAGCTGGCTCCACAGAGATTCAACCCCACCTTTAGAATAATGCTACAAGGAAGAAGCTTAATTATTCAATGGCTTCAATTAGTAAGTCTTTTTTTCTGAGAAGTCGCCAATAAATTTTAATTGAAATACTTCCCCACATCCACAATGTTTTTATAGGCTTGTGAGATGGCATCTACCTATTTTCTTCTCATAAACCAGCAATGGAGAAATGTGCATCCCTGCAGAAGTTGCTTAAACTTGGCCACAGTGCTTCTTGCCCTGGAAACTTCCCAGATAGACTGTTGCCAGATGCTCTCTATGGGACCATCCTTGAAAACTACGGGGAAGCTGCAAGAAATGCAAATAGCAACTCTAGAGCAGGGCTTCTTCAACTTGCTCCACTTGCACTCCTTTTTGCCTGATGAATATTTATGTGATCTCAGGTATATAGTTATATAAAATAAGTAGGAAAACAAGTGTTTGAAAGGCTTGCTATACAGGCTGACTTTCCTTTTAGAGAAGTACAGCTGAAGCATTTTTGGCAGAATCCACTGTAAACACTGTACGTTGTTGCAAACAGATTTGTGTAAATGAGTGGTGTTCAGAAATTTTTATTTTTGTTTCTAAGGGGACCCCATTTGGGATCAGGACCCACAGTTGAAGAAGCAATGAACTAGATCATCACATAGGAATCAAAAACAGTTGAACACCCTTCCTTTGTAGACCTGAATGGCTTTATTCAATTGTCAGTACAAAAGATGGCTTTTCATCAAAGCCTTTTGGGTGTAGCCAGATCTGTGTTGTTGTTCATTCGTTCAGTCGTCTCCGACTCTTCGTGACCTCATGGACCAGCCCACGCCAGAGCTCCCTGTTGGCCGTCACCACCCCCAGCTCCTTCAAGGTCAGTCCAGGCACTTCAAGGATGCCATCCATCCATCTTGACCTTGGTCGGCCTCTCTTCCTTTTACCTTCCACTTTCCCCAGCATAATTGTTTTCTCCTCATGATGTGGCCAAAGTACTTCAACTTTGTCTCTAGTATCCTTCCCTCCAATGAGCAGTCGGGCTTTATTTCCTGGAGGATGGACTGGTTGGATCTTCTCGCAGTCCAAGGCACTCTCAGAACTTTCCTCCAACACCACGGTTCAAAAGCATCAGCTCCTTCGCTCAGCCTTCCCTAAGGTCCAGCTCTCACATCCGTAGGTTACTACAGGGAATACCATGGCTTTGACTAGGCGATCTTTGTTGCCAGTGTGATGTCTCTACTCTTTACTATTTTATCGAGACTGGACATTGCTCTCCTCCCATCTGTACAGGTTTTAATTATGAATTGTTTAATGTCTTTCAGCATGTTTATATTATTCCTTAGTGTTATAAATTTATATTCCTCCAAACAGTATCATATCTTGATAAACTTTGTTGTTGT